ACGTCAGTGTGATGAGAACTACCTAAAATGTCAGAATCCATCATGTATTTTATGTTTACTTTGATTTTCTCCCATCTGCTAACATAGAAACAGGCTTTATGACCTATACTGCAGTCAGCCACCAGAGGGCGATGGAGATATTTTGGCTTCACTTTTGGTGACCTGTCATGTCATCCATCTTTATCTACTATGTCGATGGTTAGACCCTGTCTGTCAAATGCCCAGGTGCAAGTTCAGTTTCACTATGGTTCCAGGGATGAGCGGCATGTTTTCTTGGGGCTTCGAGGTACATTTGGTGGGTGTGTCAGAGGTGATAGCCAATCAGCAGCAACGTTGCAAGTATATAACCAGGCAGTGTGCATGCATAGAGGGTGTGGCACCATAATTTCTGTTTAAATAAAGGTTTTGCTATGTTTTGTTGGGGCTGAATGTAGCCCAGGACTTTTAACATCCACCCACAAGATCTTAACACAGACTGTTTAAAATCTGAGTCTGAGATAACCCCGATGACACCATCAGGGTTATCTCAGTTTTCTCAGACTTTAAAAAACTCCCTTCAGAGTCACAAAAGACATCATACAATTGTTTTCACAGACTAATCAATACTCTACATGACAAGTAAACTGATGTAGAAGATTTAAGAGTGTTAAGTAAGTTCAAGGTTTTGCTGTAATACTTCTTTCTATAGCCATTATATAACAGAATGTCCTAGACCAGAAGTCTAGAAGCTTGAGAGTGGGATGTAAAATTGCGAGAGCATAGCAGGAAAATTCAGGTTAAGTTTGTCCAAACATAGTCTACTATAATTACTGATTTGGAGAGCACAATGCCGAGCTGAGAAAATGATTTCAGATATACTACTGTATTTGCTAGGATAGGAGAAAGAAGACCGGTTAAAAGCAGAAGATTAATGTTCTGCTGTCTTCACGTGTATTGATTGCTTATTAAGCTACATGAAGCATGCAAGGACAAGTCATTTTACCCACGAGTCTCAATTTATCACATTTGTGACTCATCCTTGTTACTCATGTGAGTCCAAACTTTGCAGTCAGACATTTGTACATGCAGCCTATTAAAATTCTGGTCCCATCAGCTGCATGTCAACAGATGTTCGGTTATAGCATTGGTCCATTAACAACTGCCTCACCATCATTCTATAGCACAGACAGCGCTTTCAGCCCATTCATTTGGAAGGGTTGGATCTAAATGTGGGCTGTGTGGCTTGGTCATCTTAGTATTCTGTGCCCTTCCCTGCAGTCCCTTATTGCAGTCAGCTGCAGTTACAGTAGTCTCATAGGAATAGAGGGAACAAGGCTGAGCAGGAAAAAGGGCCATGGCAAAATGGGATAAATTAATGGAAGATTTCTAATCTTTTTATGCAGTAGACCCGAAAGAAGGTGGAAATAAAGGATTGGTTCTTTTTAGAAATATAGTTTAGCTTTAACTCCAGCTTTGTGGGTTGTAGTCAAAGCCAGATTTCTCATTATATTAGTTTACTACCAGCCATTAAGTCCAATATAGATCTCAGTTCTATACATTTTGACTGTTTTAGTCTCATCGAAAAAATGTGTGTGTTTTCAAGGAAATGCCATAAATTACAGCTGTTTTAAAGATTTCTGCTCACAGCCAATCCAACACATTTGACTGTTTCTAGAGACCAAAAGACCCACTTTGAAACAAATTAAAGCTGCCACTAATTCCCATTCTTATTTGCTTATCTGATAATCATAATGGGGATATGGAATTTCCACAGCACAGCATCAAACACGGACACACTAATTTCAATCATTTCCTATCATTGAAACGCACATCACAAGAGCACTTCCCCTGAAAACAATTCAGCGTAATTACTTGCAGATATTTGTCCATTTATCAGAAACCACACACACTATTATCATTAAATCATCATCAGCATCATCGGCATCATTAAATGCCCCTGCAGCGTCTTTGCATCACCATTATGTGCTGACATATGCTTAAACAGCTGGGGGACTACTGGAGGAAAACCACTGCCTGGAAAATATCTGTGTATTTTGTATAGTGCCACGGAGTTTTAGCACCGTCGGTGTCGCATTACAGGCTGGGAAGTCATCATCTCAAGGCTGACAATATTCCATCAACACAATATTTGTCTTAATTAGCAGCAAAAACACAAGAAGGTAGTAAAAGCTCCATCAGCAGGAGGAAACATTCTGGAGTTTACAGATTTTTAGTATATTACAACCTGAAGACAGAGTTGCTCATACATAAACAGAGCGCATAGCAGTTGAGAGAAACATGAGTATATTTGAAAAACTGATGTTATGAGGCCATTCGGTGGTGATATTTTTATGTATGGCTGTAACTTTGATTCAACATCTGATTCATCACTCTGGCAGTTTTATAAATAGCCACATATACCTAACAGAAATTCAGCTTCAGTGAGTCAGATATGAAAGATGTGCTAGATTTAACCAAGGCTCTGTGGCTATAGTAACAATTGATAACTTGGAAGATTAAAAAAGCACTGTCAAGACAAAGATTTGAATATTTGATTATTTAAGTACTCAGTCTGTCACTCTGATTCAGACTTGCTTAGAAAGCAAGATGTCTGTGCCAGCTGCTGAAATTAACATCATGAAATACATTTTCTTTCAAACAGATAGAAACAAACAAATAGTTTAGGTGCTGGGCTGTCATTAAGAGGTAAACATTGCTAGTTCTTGCACACATGAATCTTTTACAACAGTGTGACAGATGGAGGGAATGACAAAGAGCAGCAGATGAACGAGAATCCTTTTATGTACAAGCCAGAACCACTCTAGATAAATGCGTCTCAGAATGAAACACTGAGAGGTTGGGCCTCACCATACAAAATCGAGTTAACCAAATCTCTGTCCAAAAGGCTGTAACAAGTAGCAAACCATTTTGAAGGTTTCTGGAGGGTATTAATTACAGATTTTGACAATAAAATGTATGATTGCAAGGAAAGAATGACGGTATTTATCTAACAGAATAAAGAGATCCTCAGTCTTCTATGAACAACTTCCTCCTTCTTCGCTGACTGCAACCAAACAACATTTTCCTGAGGCATCATCTGTTGTGCCAACTTGAATATCCCATATGGCTAGATATATATAATTTAGGATCATAAATATACCATCCCTCCCCTCCCATGAACAGACATGAGGATCCAACAACACTTATCACGGTCTGTTGTGCTCAGTAAATCCAGCAGGGCATCGAGGTTTTAGTGGAGCAGCGATGCTGGTGTAATGCCTGCGACATCCAGCTGTTAATGCAGACTGACAACAGGCAGATATCTTGCAGACTAATGACAGATGGGGCTTGAATCCTGGCTTTACAGAGATAAACTATGCCCCCTCAGCATGGAAGGGGATGCAGAGGAGGAGAAAGAGAAGAAAGGCGATGGTCAAACACTTTTTGCAGTGTAGTGAAACAACGTTTTAGAGTTGATTTTGGAGATTATATTCTGGTTATTTCAGAATATTTTTATCATTATCACAGCAGGAGGGAAATGTTGCCTAATAAAGTCCCCCCTCCACTCAAAAACATGTTTTCTTATCCAGTTATACAGTTGGGTGTTCTGCTGAAAGTGGAAAGTTTCTCTGTTCTCACTGAAAATCTGATTTTTAAAGGGCTGGGGCCTACGAGCATGATTTGTGACATCACAACTAGTTTGGAAGTCCTGGGGAATTTCCAGACTTTTTTGACTGGGCTGGCACAAGCGGAGCACTGACTTATGCAGGGGTGGCAAGTATGTGTCTCAGCTTTCCAGTCATTCCCAATTTATACAATTCCATTACAGTTTAGGGACCCCAGTATGCAGAATAATTCAAATAATTTTTGCCCAAAAATGTGTATGGGATTAGCATAAAGTCGCATGTCTGCATTTTCATATAAAATCAGATATCTTGAGGTCAGAGGTCAGAGGTCTGAAAAGGACCACGTCAGTTCTTCCATCGCCAAAGTGTAGCCTAACTTTCCAGCATTATGTAGCCCCCTTCTGATTCTGGATTTTTGTTTTATGAGGTAGAAGGAGATGCCTTTTTCAGGATTCTAATGTGGAAATTATACTTCTTTTGCAGAAAAAAACATATCAGACACATATAATTGTTCCAAGCAGACTATTTGTATAGGTCTGGAGGGGATCTTTAAGCAATGAAAATGAATCAACAGAGCAAACCAGCATTGTGTTAAAAGCAGGACGCAATCTGTAGGGCCTAGATTTTTATCATCAAAGGCACAAAGATATATTTATATATAAAGACTTCTCTGCCCCCCCCCCGATTATAAAAATATCACTACTGATAGTCAAATCTAGAGAGAAAAGTCACTCATCTGGCCCAGTTTAAGTAGGAAACTAATGATAGCCCTGACCTGGAGGAAAAAGCTTGTCAATTGTAGCTTTAATGTTGTTGTTTTATTGTTTCCACTGTGGATCTTCTGCCATCAAAATAAGCAATTTAGCATTAGATAAGGTTTTATGACTGTCATGGACATAAGGGATGTTATTTTGTTGTACTTTTGTGGAGGAGTGTGTGTGCATCTGTTCCCTCCCAGTCTCTCTCAGTCCATCCGCAGGATCATGTCTGCCCTCTAATGGCCACAACAGGCAACGACACACTCCGTTATTTATAACAATGAGGATTACATCAGCAGTGATTGCAACTGTGAAAGGCTTAAAGATAAATATGGGTAGGATGCAAAGGTGGATGTTGGTCCCTAAATATAGCATGCAGCTGCCGTCACTGATTCTTCCTCATAATCAAAATATGAAAAAGTCTTAATGGATTGTAATAGTTTTAATTGCTCAGTGACGAAAGGCAGGAAATTACATAAATTAGTCATAGCACACACAAAAAGAGGACAACCAATGAGAGCTGTCCCTGAATGACGTATGTCACTCAAAAAAACTTTGTCCCTACTGTTTACATAAACACATGTACCCTCTTGGCTGGGCTCTGTGCTGCTGAATAGGAGGATCACATATTGTCCTGGTGTTAAAGCAGAGCAGGTAGACGCACAGGAAGAAGGGGAAACATGGCTTTTATGACTCTGCTGTGTCTGCTGTTACTGCACCCTGGCTCCACCGCTCTAATGAGTTCTCCATTGGACGAGGTAGGTGGAAAGCTGCGGGTGAACAGGAGCACTGTGGTTAGTGATTCCTCTGCTCGGGACTTCTGCAAAGTACATTGAACTCTTCAACTTTAAACTGTTTATCATCCTGTGAAAACCTGCAGAGAGACATGTTTTTACTGGATTTACACAGCAATCACTAAAAAACAAAAGCTCCAAGATAGTTTCAGTGTTTTCATTCTGTATTTGGGCCACAGATCTAAATTTAGTTACACAGGTTTAAAACTGCTGTTTCCACAGGACCTAAAAATTGTGTTATTGTCTGTGTCCTCTTTAAGCTTTTTCATCACTCCTCCAGTCAGAGAGACATAGTTTCCTTTCCTGGTTCTTCTCCTGATGCCTCAGGTACGTCTTTCTATGGCTTAAGTGTAGAAACAGTTTGAGGACTCACAGATAATGCAATGAAATCTATCTTCTTTCTGTCATAGTGTAATGATGTGTGATATTAAACACCATCCTTTAGTGCTGCTTTAACTACAAAAACAGCCACTGTGCACATTAGGCGGGCAGTAGCTCAGTTTGTAGGAACTTGGACTTCAAGTCCAGTATGGACCATGGAGTCCATATATATATATATGGAGTGTGGACTGGAAAGGTGCCAGTTCACCTCATTGTATATCAGGCCTACGTGTGCACACATTTGAGTGAAAAGTATTTAATAAATAAAGTAAATATAATAAAGTAAGCAGATTACTGGTGTATATCTATACTGTGTCTTCTCCTTGTTCCCAGCGAGCGGGCGACTGCGTCGATCGGCTCTGATGCCTGACATCACACATCTGGAACTGCTGGTGGTGGTTGGTCCTGATGTCCAGCAGGTCCACAAGCAGGATACAGAACGATACATCCTCACCAACCTTAACATTGTAAATCTGAGCACAGACACACAGTAAAAAAAATGATGGTTTTCTGAACGCTTTCTGTTCTGTTGATTCCAATTTCTGTGCCTCCAAAGCCAATATATGGGAAAAGGCAGTGGAGCACACTTAAAGCCCCCTCCACTCAAAAATCAGTTTTTCTTCTTGTTCCTACAGTTGGATGTTTGACACTAGAAGGATGTTTTTCACATTTATCTGCTGAAAGTGGAAAGTTTGTCTGTGCTAACTGAAAACTGGATTTTAAGGGGTATTTGAAACATCACAAAAAGTTTGGAAGTCAAATCTGGTCCAGTATGCAACCTACACAAGTGTGATGTAGAAACTGTGAAGCCACCAGTGCACACACAC